CCCCCCCGCACCTCATTCCCAATCTCAAACGTGATGATGCTGGCCGGGGGGAGGCGCGCCCTGGCGGCCTGCGCCTGCTGCAGCGCCAGGTCGGGGTCGCCTGACTCGAGGTTTACGCCGATGATGAACTTCGCACCGGTGCCCTTGTGCAGCTTGGCCAGAGAATCCCACACCTGAGGGGTTGATCGTAAGTTGCGTGTGCGTCCATGCACGAATGCACACAAGTGGAAGCGCGTGATTGTGAACAAATAGCCTACGAGCACAGGGGCCCTCTGCATCTTGCTGCGGATATGAGAGCAGGGATGCAACTGCTCGTTGGCGGCGGAGCCCCAGCTTTGCCGGCGGCCCACCTGCGGGGCCGGCACAACGGTTTGAAGGTCAGAGCTGCCACCGCCGATCCGGATGATGAGCGGGCCGCCGCCGAATGACGTCAGATAGTTGAGCATGTCCATGTACCTGTGGTTCGTGTGTTGGCGGAATTTTGTTGGATTGCGAGCCAGGAGTTTGCGTTCGTTGTTTGTTTGCTGGATGGGGAAGGAGGGGTTTGTGCAGGTGATTTTTGTGCAAAGGCACGCGTTACTTGGCACTGCCTGGGATCTGTGCAAATCACGGGAACCTTTTGCAACCGGTCAATTAAAGTCAAAGCACACAAGCCCGCGCACGTCCGGCAATTCAGGTGATGTACTGTCGCGCCTGCCAAGCCCCACGGACCGGGGTAGAATCAGATACAGAAATGCACGGGACATACGAGCGCTTGTTGTCCCAAGACCCAGGGCTTCCCCTGATTTATATGCCCCCAGCCTCGGCCAGCACTGACTTGGGCTGTGTTGACATCTCCTCAACGAACGGCCACTCATGGCTCAGCCCCAGGAACGACTGCGGGATCGCCGGCAGAGAGCGGTCGTCGACCTTTATCAAGGCGGTCGCCGCGCCGGCCGCCTGCTTGGCGCCCTTCGGCGTGGCGAGCGCGAGCGGGGCGGCTGCGGGGGCAGGAGGGCGTTCGATTATGGCGTGAAATGCTCAGGCAGGTGAGCGGCGAGCAAAGAGGGTGCCATTCAGAAAATGATGCAGAATGAGGCTCGTATGATAGCATGCGTACTGTCACATTGGCGCAGACCGGCGGCGCATACACAGCTGCAGCTGTGGCGCCAACGCAGCTGGGAGCTGCAGCACAAGCAGCAGCGGCCAAGATGGTGGGGGCTCGGCGGTGCGCTGGTGCGCTTACCGCTGAGCGCAGCCCACGCCACTGCGGCGACGATTGCAAGCTTACACGCCCGCATCCCTTCCCGCCTCCAGATTAGAAGTTCCGCGGGGTCGAGGGCTGCAGCAGCTACGGGGTACTTTAGCCGCTCGTTGGCCGCCGTTGCCTTTGTCGAAACGTCCAATACAGCTGTTCCTAAGATTTTCGAGATGCGGAATCGGTAGACGCCACTGGTGATCATGCGCGCGCCCTGGCGACGGGTGGGGTCACTAGGGAAGGCGGCCCAACCGCTGCGGCGCTCGGCCGAGAGAACAGCGCGTGTGGCCTCAGCGTCAGGTGCTTTGTTGTTTTGTGTTGCAAGGCCGCAAGCTTGGCCTCAGCTCCGCGTGGGCCTGCTGCCCTCCTCGTCTCTGACACCCCAACACATCCCAGCGGCTGGCCCAGCACAGAGAGTGACATGGCCTTGGCACAGTACAGGCTACACAGGATGAATGGGAAACATGCTTTGAGATGTGAAGCAGCTGACCCCTGCACAACTTTTGCGTGATTGGTTGGGCGATAACCGCTCGGTTGAGGGCGGCGATGCCTGCAGCGTACGGTCGTCCCGCCTTAGCGGAAATCCAATTGCGCATGCGCATCCTGTGTTCGGGCACCAAACTCCGCGACCCTTCAGGTATATGTTGACAAATCTATCCATCTTCCCCTCCCTCATACCGTGCGTATAGTGAAAGCATCATCGCGAACAACATCGCACGCCGTGAACCGGCCAGTGGACCACCAATCACTTATTGCGGCACACTGAATCAGGCGCAGCGCAGAGCAAACTTGATTCCCATCTGTTTGGTCACCACGACAGACCTGAGGTATCGGGCTTGCTGTGTGCCGCAGGCTCAATCGCACAGCGACGCTGACCGTCTCATTGTCCAACCATGGATGCCCAGGCCCTGTTTGAACGCCAAAATCGGTCGCAGGGCGGCAGAGTGTGAGCAATATGACTTCAGTGCGCCAGTTTTTCGGATTTCCCAGGTCACCCCCTTCTTGCGCAAAAGACACACCAGGTGAACAAGGGAGAAGGTGTGGCCGGTGACTGTGCATGATCTGCCTCGTTCATGTTCTGGGTGGAGTGCTTCGAAATACGGAAAGTTTGGACACAAAAATCCCTACCACACCCCGGTAACCCTGGCTGATAGGCCGTTCCGGTGCCAAAGCGTCGTGTGTCGCTGCAGCGGGTGCTTGTCTCTGGAGCTGGACATTTCGTCATCAGATACACAACCTGTAATTCTTGCAATAAATAGCTGGCGGCAGAGGCCCTCTTGCTCGGATTCAAGCCACTTTCATCGTGTTCCTCCCCTCCTTGGGCCCCGTAGCCGTCTTGCAACTCCCTGCAACGCCCTGATAGTAGTACTGGAGCATAAGTCACGTCCACTGAATGCGGCAACCCCACCGCCCCGCCGGCCGCAGCACTGCGCGGCGCCGGGTGACGGGCGGCGCGGCGGTTGCGCTGCTGCTGCTGCTCGCGGTCGCCGCGGCGCCGCAGCGCGCGGCTGCGCAGGATGTGAAGGCGGCGCTCACGCTGGACAGGGCAGTGGCAGAGAACCAGTACGCCTGGTCGATCCTCCCCGACCGGCCAACGCCACTCAGCCTGAAGCTTCCCGCTGGGCAGACGGCGCAGGTCACCTACACAACCAAATACCAGCGCCGCCTGCTGAGCACCAAGTTCACAGTGAGAGCCACAGGGTCGACCACAAATCGGAGGGGCGAGGGGTGGCCGGCGGTCGTGCCGCGATGCAGACGCCGCCGGGAGGCGGCGCTGTGCACACGCGGGCTGCTTCCCTTGTCCCGCATGCATTTGTGCACGCTCGTGAAATCACACACACACACACACACACACACACACACACACACACAAACACACACGTGCGTGCCCTAACACTCCGCACCCTGCAGGTCGCTGGCTTCGTCAACTTCACAAACCGCGGCAACCTGCCGCTCATCGTCTCGGGCGGCCAGGTGACAATCTGCAACGGCTTCTTCGCGGAGCTCAACGCCACGACCAAGGGCGCCCCCATCAACGCTGGCTGCAGCGGCTCATCCTACAGCATACCTCTGCGCCGCAGCCTCAACCCCCCGAAGAGCGCGCCCGGCGGCCAGGCGGTCGTACCGTTTGAGGGGACGGTGACGGTCAACCGCATCACGGCCCCCACCATCAACGGCAACGGCATCAACGGGCCCGTTGCCACCGCGTACGTCGATGCGTATCTGACCACCGGGGGACGCGTGGTGTCGACGCCGCAGCGCTTTTCGTTTGACATCTCACCGGGTGCGTGGCGGCCCTGCCTGCCGGGGCGCATGCGTTTGAACGCTCTAGTGCGACCAAATCCCAAGCTTCAGGGGGCACCCGCCAGGCCTGCGCTGGCCTCGTGCGGCACGCTCAGGACAGGCGCTATATTAAATCAGGGCCTATCACGCAAACAAGTAGCGCATTGGCGTGGGCAGGGGCGCTCTGCGCTGCAGTTTTGCCGACCACCCTTTGCAGCTGCTCACGCGCCCCTTTGACCGCACCCTCTCATCTTACCCGTTGTCGTCCCCCAGCAGGCCAGGAGAACAACCGGGGGGAGACGGCCATCGCGTGAGTGTCTAGAGCATGGAGGGGAGGAGGAGTGCAACCCCCACGCAGCCTCGCAGCGGGGCGCACTAGCACGCGCGCAGCAGCGAGCGCAGCCGTCAAAGCCTCAGCAAGGCAGACAATCAGGGCCCTGTGCCGCTGCAGCTTGGCCCCAACGCTTGGCCCCGCCGCTGGTGCCGCTGCGACAGCCGCGGCAGAAGACGCTGGCGCAGCCACCCGCTCTGCTGTCCACCGCTCTGCTGCAGAAGCCAGCCACGCCTCACGATCGTGCCACGCACCCCCTCCCCTGCTCGCGGCCCGCATCCGCGTGTCTCCAATCCCATGAGCCTTCTCAACAGCTCCAGCAGCTGGCGACTGTGGGACGCTGTCGCATTCTGATCCCAATCCTGATCCTCCACGCTCCCTCTGTTGCCTGCTGTGCAGGTACGATGACTTTGTGACGGGACCTATTGCGCCGCTGACCATCTTCCCGGTGGCCACGAGCGGCAACAAGATCCCAGACGGTCTCGGCCTAAAAATCGAGGACACGAATTCTTACACGTGAGGGGTCCCTGGGGCGTGAGGCGCCGAGCTGACTGGTGGCGGCGGTGGAGGTGCTGTGGTGGTGTGCGGTTGTCAGCTTGCCATGCGGGCACACGTCTGTGTGCACATGCGTGTGCGCAGTTTTTGCAAATACACATGCGCGTGCACAAGGATGCGTGCAGTTTCGAGTTTCAAAGCTAACTTGGGCAAGTGCGCGGGCATGTGCAGACGC